GGAACTTTTGGAGCATTGACTCATCTCCTTGGACTGGAGATCACAAGGTGACTTTCATGATGAAGATACTGCGGCACTACTAACGTAGATCATAGATTAGTGACACTGTCCTGTTTCCAGCATCTGGCATGCTCCTCATGGCTATTGAGGCTGCTCAAGAGATGACTCCATCTGGCCGTGCTGCCTCTGGATATAACATTGAGAAAGCTGAGTTTATGAACCCAATAATTGTGCCAGAAACTTGGGAGGATCGTCTCGAGACCCAGGTCCGCCTGCGAGTTGCCGACACGCAGCATGATGCAAAGTTCGACATCAGCATCTTCACGTACTCACGCAATGAGTGGGTCGAGTGCTTCACTGCGAACATTTCGGTCGAATATCAGGATACAGGTAGGTACGACAAGCGGCGAGTGAAACACGAGCACATACGGGGCCAGTATCAGAAATTAGCTGAGATGTGTACTTTACCCATCGACTCTCGCGTCTTTTACCATGATGCGGCAGAGGTTGGACTGCAGTATGGCGATTGGTTCCAGCTGATGCGCAACATCAAGTGGGATGGTGAGAACTCATCAGTGGCAAGCGTTGATCTACCACAGCCAAAGTTCACTACCAAGGGCCTAGTCCATCCAGCTGCGCTCGACCAAGCCTTCCAAGTTCTCCGAGCTGGCTCTCGTCAGCAACCCGCAGCCAATGTCCCCATAAGACTCGAAAATGCATGGTTCGCCTCCAAACCATGGAAAACACCTTCGGTTCAGTGGATGTGCAGTGCGACTCCGACTGTTCACGGTTACGGAGAGCAAGGCGAGGTCGTGGCTTTGGCTGACGATGGAGAAGTCCTTTGCTGCATCGAGCGTGCAGTTACATCTGCTGTCTCGGGCGGAATAACCCAAAAGGAGAAGAAGCTGGTTTATTCGATTGAGTGGAAGCCACATTTCAGCATGCTTGGTCCAGACCAACTTGCACGATTATGCACCGCTCATGCTGTGCCGAAAGACGACAATGCAGTCCTGGAGAATCACTCGAAGCTCTGTCGTACACTTGAGCTCGTAGCTGCTCGTGTACTGAAGCGTATAGACAACTCCAAAGTCCCAACATACTTGCAGCGTCATGTCCAGTGGATGGAACACCACGTTAGCAAGCTATGCCCTGAAGATCAAGACGAAGCAATCAAGATTAGTAACGAGGAGCTCGAGTCTATGCTAGATGAGGTTGACGCTGTACTTCCAGCTTGGAAGCTATACACAACATGTGCCCGAAAGCTGCCAGAGATTCTATCCGGAGAGCTAGACCCTCTACAGGTAGTATTTGAGTCTGACCAGGCCGACATCTTCTACTCAGATCTCTTCCGGAATCTCTGCGCTGATGGTCAGCTCAATTATCTACTTGACTTGGCATCGCATGAGAATCCAACTCTGAGAGTTCTAGAAGTCGGTGCTGGTACAGGTGGTATGACGGGACATGTCATATCAGCTCTACAAGAACGTGAGAAGCGCACTGGAGGACTGGCGTTCTCAGAGTATACCTACACGGACATATCACCTGCTTTCTTTGAAACTGCAGGTCAGAGATGGCCAGAGCTCAAGTCCCAAGGCCGGATCAATTTTAAGACACTCGATCTAGACCGTAGTATTGACAGTCAAGATTTTGAGCCCGGTTCTTATGACTTGGTCATCGCGGCCAGTGTGCTGCATGCTACCCCATACCTAGAAGCCACGATACGCAATGTTCGCAAAGCTCTGAAGCCGGGTGGTCGTCTCATCCTCCTAGAGGTTATCAATCCCGATGACATCGCTACGAACTTCATGGCTGGCCTTGTGCCAGGCTGGTGGGTTGCTCGTGAGGAGTGGAGACCGCATTCTGCTGCTATACCAGAGCATCTTTGGGATAAGTGCCTCAAGGACAATGGCTTCTCAGGGAATGACTTGGTGATTCGAGACTATCAAGATGATCAGTGTCATATTATGAGTGTCATCGTCACCACTGCCAGTGAGCATGAGCAAGCAGTTGAGCAAAAGGCAAGAAAAGGCCGTCTGGTCATGCTCATCAGTGACGAGGCGTCGACGAAGGAGACGGGGCTTGCAGATCAAGTTCGCACACTTGTTGATCCAATACTAGAGCGGCGTACAGTCATCGTTCCATTCTCACTAGGCCCAGTTCATGAGGAGCTGGCCAATTTGACAAGTGACGATCTTGTCATTTGCCTCGCCGAAGCTGGAGACAAGCGTATCCTCTCGAATCTCTCGGAAGAACAGTTTGGTAGCCTTCAGTTTATGATCAGAAAAGTCTCGAACCTTCTTTGGGTCACCTCAGCCAGCATCAGCGACCCAATGTGTCCAGAATACAGTGTCGCTCAGGGCTTCTTCCGCTCCATCCGCGCTGAGCAGCCTGAAACTCGTATTGTCACTCTAGCAATAGACGGCGACATAGCCCAAGCGTCACAGCCAGATTTCATCTCAAAAGTCTACAAAACTGCTTTCGATACTAAAACGCCGTCAAAAGAGGTTGAGTACATTGTCCGAGATGGCGTCATCGCCACAGGCCGCGCGGTTCGAGACATCAGCACTGATACGGCATTGCGATCCCTTGTTTCCAAACAGCTGCAACAAAAGCCTTGGGGCGATGGACCAGCGTTGAAACTTGGTATTAGCAAGCCAGGGTCACTCGAGTCACTTCAGTTTGTGGAAGACCAGTTCCATGCTGAGGAACTCGGTCCTTGTTATGTCGAGATTGAAGCAAAGGCCTGGTGTCTAGCCTCTCGTGAACTTGACATTACCCTTGGTCACCCTGAAACGCGAACTGAGGAATTCGGCAGTGATTGCGTTGGTGTTGTCACACGTATTGGGAAGAACTGCAGCACTGCCATTGGGCTAGGGGATCGCGTGGCTATGATCTCCGTTGGTTGCATGAGGAAGTATCCTCGTGCCGACGAAACAAGCGTCTTCAAGATCCCTGACTCGCTCAGCTTCGAAGATGCTTTTTCGCTCACAATTCCGGGATTTACTGCCTGCCATTCAATTCTCAATGTTGCACGCGTACAAGAGAATGAAAAGGTCTTGATTCAGTCGGCTGGAAGTAGTGCGGGTCAGACTGCATTGAAGCTCGCTCAGACACTTGGTGCTCAAGTGTTTACTACTGTGTCAACTGGGGCTGAGAAGCAACTACTCATTGACAACATTGGCCTGAGCACAGATAATATCTTTGACAGCAATTCCCCGTGTCTTGCTGAAGATGTGATGAGAGTCACCGTAGGAGAAGGCGTTGATGTGCTATTCGACTTTTCTCGGGACAATGTACGCACACCACTCTCTTGCGTGGCCAATGAGGGACACATTGTCAGCCTTGGTGGTAGCAACAAGCCAGTGGCTTCTAACATGGCTGCGGAGATCATGTCGAGAAATCTCACCTTCTCTTCCATCGATATCTTGCGTCTGAAGCCCAAGGTTTTGAGCCAACTGGCAAAAACAATGATGCAGCTCCTAGCTGAAGATAAAATCCAAATGCCCCAGCAATTACCAGTCTACAAGGTATCTGACATCAAAGACGGCTTCAGGAAACTGCAAGACGATACCATCGAGCGTGTGATAGTAACAGCAGAACAAGGGGATGTAGTTCCGGTAAGCCAACACCAACCTGGTTGTTACATTGTTAGCTAACTCACAACTTACAGCAATTTGTTCAAGATCGTCGCCTATGGAAATTCGATGGTGATTCCACCTATTTAGTAGCCGGTGGATCTGGAGGTCTCGGTCGAGCCATTATTAGATGGATGGCTGACAGGGGAGCTAAACACCTGATTGTCCCCTCTCGATCGGGTGCAACATCTGAAGCAGCTACACAGCTGGTAGCCGAGTTGGCATCCCGCGGCGTCAATATTGTTGCGCCCAAGTGCGATGTTTCTGTTCGCGAAGAGGTCGCAGCCATGCTGAATGAATGTTCATGCACTATGCCCCCAATCAAGGGCTGCATCAACGCAGCCATGGTTCTGCAGGATGCCATATTCCAGAGCAACATGACATTCCAACAGTGGCAACTCACCATACGGTCCAAGATCAACACTTCTAAGAACTTGCACGAACTACTTCCCAAGAATCTCGACTTCTTCATCCTTCTCTCCTCTCTTGCTGGTGTTGTTGGTCAGATGGCCAGTGCAAATTATGCTGGTGGTTGCGCGTATCAAGATGCACTAGCCAGATATCGGAGGGCGCATGCTCAGAATGCGCTGTCTCTTGACATTGGATGGATGAGTAACATCGGCATCATTGCTGAGAAAGAGGCGTATCAACGGCAGAGACAGACGTCGAATGATATGCAGCCCATCGATGACAAGGAGTTACTTGCGTTGCTCACTATATGTTGCGACCCGAATAATCCCATCGAGGTACCGCCATTGTCTGAGGGACAAGTCCTTTTTGGTCTGCGAACACCCGCGGATATCCTCAGTGAAGGCCAGCAACCTCCAGCTCTTCTCGAACGACCTCTCCTCGGCGCATTATCATTCTTAGCAGGCAACAACAATACACTAACCCAAGCTGTTGACCGCGTCGAGGACGTGCGAGATGTCTTCCAAAAGTCTTCAGATGCTAGAGAGCGGCAACAAGTTGTCATAAGGGCCGTAGCTGCCAAGCTCGCGCGGGCCATGTCCATCTCGCCTGAGGACGTTGAGCCAAGCAAGCCGCTTTCGTCGTACGGAGTAGACTCGCTGATGGCGGTTGAGCTGAGGAATTGGATCAATAAGGAGTTTAGCTCTACGGTAGCCGTGTTCGATATCATTGGAAGTGTATCTATTGCTGGGGTTGCAGAGGTCGTCGAGAAGCGAAGCTCGATTTAACGAGCCCTTTCAGTTCAAGATAGTCGAGCGATGCAAAAAGGAGCTTTACAGTTTACCGTGACGTAGTGTTATAGACTTTATTGATATCGGATTGTTAATCTCTATGTGAGCTCAAGTCTGGAATCTCAACCTGTCCAACTGTCCTCGCCCCATATTTCAAGCAAATCTCTTATCTGACAATAACAAGCTGGCCATTTGGCGCATGGTTGATGGTGATGTTGGGACTGCTGTTTGCAAAGTCAATGCGCAGCGAATTTCTCATCTTAGCTACGTCAACCAGTTGACCGACTTGCAATCCCTGACCAGACGAGATATAGAAGGTGTCGGCAGGCTTGATCTGATACTGGTTGCCAGGCTCGGGCCTGAAAGTAGCAAGGGGAACATTGCTACCGCCATCGGGAGAACCAGCCACACCGACAAAGAAGTTATCTAAGGGTCAAAGTCAGCTATCTGTGCCTCGGGGGCATAGTAGAGAACTCACTCTCTGTAGCCGTCTGAAGGGTGAAGTCATTGCCGGTGTCGATCTCAAAGGCATTGACGAATGCAGACGACGGTCCCGGCGATCTGTCAAACGAAGGCATACGCCCGTTGACCACAACCATGTTCAGAGTCGTCCCAGGATTCTGACTGCCATCATCAGATTGTGAACCAAGATTCACTGCCTTCGCCTGCGCGATCTGGACTTTAGTTCCCTCCTTGGGGCTGCCCCTCCAGGAGCCGACGGTGCCGTAGTAGGTCTTCCAGATCTCGAACTCGGTCTGCCCTCCATCGGGACAGCCCTCGCTTGACTGGTAAACGTTTGTCCAAACGTTACTGCTGGAGATGCCTGTGACCTCTGGCTTCTCGCCTACGAGGTTGTAGTTTTGGGAACTGCCCGTGTTGTTTCTGATAACGATGGTGTATTTGTTGACCATTTTTTCTGCTGTTTGCGGATTGAGGATGGAAGTTCCGAAGTGGGCAGTTCTGGCTATTGCCAAGGTGCAAAACGGAAACGCCTTTTATAGTACTTCTTGCCAGCTGCTGAGACTTGGGGAACCGAATTGCATCAATCGGTGCTCTATGCTCTCGTGCCCGCACTACACTGGGCTGAGAGTGATCTAGACACCATAGTTGATGCTTGGCTGGCTGAGTTAGTTATGAACTAGTTCAAACCATTGGTTACTATGCCAGAAGTGGACTTAGAAGGTCATTGGCGCGATGCTGAAAGCCGAAATCCCCTTGAGCTAGTGGTGGCCAGGCTATCAACTTCGTATAAACAGCAGTCTAACCCCTCATTTAGTCAACTTTCGTCTTCTCCCCTTTGCAGCCATCTCCATCATGAAAAGACCTCTCCTAGACATGCACGTGGCTCCCTCTTCGTCATGGTCGACGAATGACAAGCCACGGAACATTACAATCACAAACTCCACAGGCAGCACTCAGAGCTACGCCCTGTTCGCCGACACGCCAAAGATCACACCAGGCATACCAGTGATCATCAACAACATCATCCTAGTCCTGCGCGGCGTAGCTAGTGCCTCTAGCCAAGCGTACTTTACGCTTCCCAAGTCTCCCTTCTACGCCGTCTGCGGCACAAGCTACTGCGGGGAGTCCACGGTCGAGACTACAGTCGAGGTTCTGGATTCGAGACCTGTTGAGGTTGGGCACAAGGCAGATGACCAGACGTTGGTAGCGGGTACTACGCTGGAGCTAGTCATCAAGAGGGGAACGCCCAACTTTGCAAACAGGCCTGATATCGTACCTACTGGCCATGAAGGATGTTTCTGTATTCGGACCAGCAGTGAGTTTACGCATAGTCAAGCACGTGCCGGCAAGTCTAGATCCCAACCCCTCACTTATCCCCTGTGCTTAGACTAACACCGCTAGGGGACTTTGTCGTCGGCATCTCGCTGTTCAAGAAGCTATCACGCTACTTCGGGCCATTTGCTACGTTCCGACCTGCGCCTGGGGCTGAGTACCAGATCCAGCCGCTGAACCGTTTCTACCTCGCTGTTGGAGATTACGATGTGCGCTCGCCTGCACCGAAAGGTCTTGAGACGAGGAGTTGTCTGATTGACTTTAATGTTTTGGAGTTGGATAATGTGCAGGTTCACCATACGGAGACGGGTCGGTTGTTTGTTAAGTCGGATTTTAATGAGGACTGAGGGAGGGGATGACTGCATGGGCCGGAGATCATGGGACGGGACGTGCGGCTGGAATATCCTTACGCTCTCCAGCCTTTGTAACCAGCCACAGAGTCTGCACGTATCATCTAAATGCCGGGTGAACCGATCTGGGTGATATTAGCGCGTCAGGGTACCATAAACGATTGAACAACGTACGGCATGAACCAATGCCTTTCCAAAGAGAACGGCCTGTTCGCGAGATCTTAGATAGCGTGCATAAAAGGTTTACACTATTGATCAGCATTTGAAGGATGCATAGTGTCTTGTCAGCCGTGACTGGCTAGTTTTAGTTCCTCGCAGGCGCCATCGCGACTATCTGGGGATCTTCTCCCGCTCCCGTCCAATAGTGTATTTCTTAGCGCGCCAGAACAGTCTGAAGCTGTTAATCAGCCGTCTCATGAGAGAGAGCGCAGTGGATTGTTTCCGAGATCAGATGGGTCTAGATCTCTCTGTCTGGTCGCTCCCATGGCGGGATCTCCGCGATCAGTTGATCGGTCCGCCACTAGTCTTGAGGCTTTTGGGCATGATGTAGCAAACATCGTGGGGTAGGATATATGTTCATCACTTTGGGAGTAGGAGTAAACAAAGTCAGAGGAGTCTGGGCAGATACCGAGCAAAATCTCATAGTTTAACAGCACCAAGGACATTTCAGCAATTGGATGGTCCAAACTGTTTTTATATGTGTCTTGCTTCCCGCACAATTGCTGTAAGCCGTTTCTTCTGCGTCAAAATATTAAGCTATAGCAGTCATTGACCGAAAGGTATCAATGTAAGATAAAAAAAAATCTATTGAGTGTTCATGCACAAGTAGTATAGAAGAATGGTAGTCACACCTAGAAGTGGACAAGAACTGAACAAACTTTGCTACGCCTCCTGCCACAGCATAATAAGGATCTTTTGCACATGGCGTCTGCGTAGTTTCTGCTATATCTACCGCCATCTGTTCATTAGCCTAGCTACTTCCATTAGCATTAGAAATATCAGAAACTCTTCCCATGAACGTACTCGGAATGCGGCACTGCGATCTTAGTTCTTTCCACGGCACTGTTGGCTAGGCAAGCAAGGACGGTCAGGTTTGTAAGGACCAACGTGCGGCTTTGCACCTTTCTCCAAGCCTGCATAGCTGAGATCAGGGGCAGCGACAGGCATTGCCAGGGTGCCTGAGACCATGGCGAGAATGGTAAGAGTGAAGAACTTCATATTGAATGAGAGACTTGGGGTGAGCTGCGAAAACGAATGAATGGGGGAGAAGTGATGCTATGTCGAGAAAGAAATGGTGACAAATGCGAATTAAATAGCTTTTCTAACGTCGTATCGGTCTGAGATGACAGGGCGACCGTTGAACCTTATAGGGCTTGACAGTTATGCGAGTGGTCTCGGGAACGAGATATTGAGTTTTGACGTATTCATATTACTGGTCATGTCTTGAAAGTCTAACTCAACTCATCGGTTACAAGTGCCGAAGTTCATAGCAACGTCTGTGCTTCGTATTCAGCCCAGTAATAGCTACCAGCGTGGCCTCAAGTTAGATGGTCTGATGATTTATTAAATACCCCATTAACTTTCAATGTCAACTATCTCCACTCCATGTTCCTGCTGAATAATCTCCCGACTCGTCGTCAGCATCTGTAGGTTCTCGCAAATACCCTCCGTCGGTGAACCCAATTTCTTTATCAACCGCAACGCAGGAAGCCGGATACTCAAATCAAGACACTTCATTATTGTAAAGAAGAGCATGGGAGTATATGCAAGTTCGAGGCTGGATTGCTTGGTGGACCTTTCACTTTGCCAGCTCGCTAGTTGCAGCACCTGGCGAAATGTCCCCATATGTTCCTCATATCGGAAGTCGGCACTTAACTCGAGGTAAGAAAGTTTGAGACGCATAAAAAGTGATCTCTCCTGAGCTTGGTATAGTAAAGAGGTGGTATCGACTTCGAGCTTTTCGTATAGCGTTTGCCAGGTCTGAAGATGAGTGCCGACGGTATCGTACTCTTCTGTCATGTCGAAAACGACGCCGCGATGCCTCATGTGGCAGAGTCGCACCACTCGGTTGAAGATATCATCCATCATGTATTGCGCGTCTTCCATGCAGTAGAACTTGGTTGGTATCATATAAGTCAACGCTGGCATGCTCTCACTCTCAATATCTTCAGGGCCAAAAAGCATGGGCACTGCTGTCATGCGCCTAAAGACAGGCATTAAATACCGTCTGGCCCAAGGATTGCTGCACTTTTCCATAATGGCAAGTCCATGTAGGCAATGTTGCAGTGCAATCTTGTTATTCGCTAGCAAGTACTCCACACAGATGAACAAGATGCAAACGAGCAACACAAGAGGCTCGCTGTGAATCGTCTTGAGACGCTGAATGGCCTGTGTATAGTGCTGCAGAGCGAATCTCTCCGTATACGGCGCCACACTCTTCCCCTCAGACGATTCAAACAACGAGCTTATCGATAAGATGGTATGTTTCACGACGGCCTCTGACTCGCTGAGCTGCATCACAAGATGGGTCCAGAAGTAGCCATCCCTAGCGCTCGACAAACGCGGCGAAATAACACTGTGAAAATACCCAAGCGCCCTCCGTTCCTCGACTGGGAGCAAGGCTTGCGGATCGATGGTAGAGACACGCGGCAATAGCATCCGACCATGCGCCACATCTCGCGGGTTGATCTTCTGCATAAGCGCGTAGCCGTCGCATTTCCGACCAGTGCTTGTGCAGCGATGACAAGCGGGCTTTTTCTCATCGCATTTGACTCTTCGAATTCTAGAACAAGGTCCCGTCAGAGGCGGGCACTAGTGTTTCAGAGACTTGATTCTGCTTACTTGCATGTTAGACAGCCTGTCTTTACCTTGCAGTGCGCTTGTCGCATGTTTTTTTTACTGATAACTGATGCTTGGCGTAAGCAAGCCGGAGACCTGTTAAACGAGGACGCCAATAAAAGTGGTGTTTAGACGCGTGGAAGGATTCTGGGCCTGCTTTTAAGGAGTGCGGTTTTCGCTTGAGGTTTTTCAGCGGGTATGGCGCTGGTAGGAAACAGTTGGGATCGACGGCTAAGCTTGACCTTTTTGGGTGCTAGGTGTTTCAAAATGCGAGCATGCCAATCGGAACAGCTCGGTTGTCGATTTATGGGCCTGAGCAAGGATATCAATAACCGAGGCACTCTGATACTCTAGGTTAGGTAAGTAAAGATAAATGCGACAGAATAAATAAAATGCCACCAAAATAATATACAAACATCCATCACCTTTTGATCTTAGCACCACCTCGTAATACCAAGACTACGGGATCAGCCCAAGTATCACCTCGTTTGCCTCTTTTCTCCATGTGTCTTCTTGTTTATGCACTCCTTCCAGCGTAAATGCCAAATTTACAGGGTTCTTCTCTTCATATATTGGCCACTCCAATCCAACATGAGATACTGGGAAAACGGGTTAGCAGCTGTAAAAGCAAAGGCTTCAGGCATCGGGGATAGTCGACGTACGCTTATGAAAGTTCGGGCAATGAGTCGTGGCAAAACTAATCCACATACGGCTCATGGTCTCAGCCAGTCTGTGGTAGGGCTCTTGATGGCCAGCTGGGAATGGGTTGACATCCCATCCGACACCTTGCGTATTGGCGAACACGAAGGGGATCTCCTGGAAGTGAGCCGCTCCGTATTCTTGAGCACTCAAGACGGCGGTCGTAGTATCGAAAAAGTAGCTGTAGGTTGGGACGTGGTGGGCAGCAAAGTGTTGATTTGTGCTGCGACGGCCTGCAATGAACACGGCGTCTCCTACCATGAGAGTTGTTGCCCCGTAGTAGTCTCCTGCATAGTCGGCCAAGACGGTACCAAGTCCCGCGTCACCGGGGCTCTTCGCTGCCTTCATATATAAATCCAAAATGCTTCGGTGATCCTTTGCTGTAATAGTGCTGTAAGGATTCAAGCCATCAAGGACGGCCTGGAAGTCGCTAGAGCTGTTAACTGGAGGTTTGGCAACTAGGGCGAAGATATTTGTGCCCTCGTTTCGATTTGTCCCCACAATGGTTGGCACCTTGATGAAATGACCGCTGGCCATGGCTGTGGCCCCCGATTCCGGAAGAATCTCTCCATCGATGGAGATAGGGTCGGAAGCAGCTTCCAGCAGTGACGATACTGGGGCACTCCGGAGACAGGCGAGAGAATCAAGAGCCTTAGAACAGTTGGCAGTGGCCAGAAGATTCTTGAAACTGCGCTCCTTATCTTCGTCACGTGTAATCAACTTGCTATAATATGGGTTGCCGCTCTCCATGATGGCTGCGCTGAAAAGCCCGTCATCCCGACCGCCGTATGCAATGAGATGCAGACCAACACTGATAGCACCAGCAGATTCGCCAAAGATGGTGACCTTGGACGGGTCGCCGCCAAAATTTGCGATGTTCTCTTGTATCCAAGCCAGAGCCTGCCTCTGGTCGTGTAGAAACAGGTTTGTCGACCCAGCCTTCTCGGCTTCCGAACAAGCCATCATGCCGAGAGCACCAAGCCGGTAGTTCAAACTCACGAAGATGACAGGCGTGTCCATCTTGACCGAATTCTCAACGAGGAATGAGCCGTTGTATCGAAGGTCATTGGCACTGCCTGCAAGAAAGCCACCGCCATGGATCCAAGCCATTACTGGCAGCTTGGCAGTCGCTGGAACATGGGCTGGGCGCACAATGTTGAGATAGAGGCAATCCTCGCTCATGTTTCCAGTAACTTTCTGGCTGAAACCAGGCAGACCAATATCAACGCCCATACACCAGTCGCTATAGGTATTCGTAACACGGATACCATCCCAGCTTTTCGGTGGCGCTGGTTTCCGTAGCCGTAGGTCTCCTACGGGAGGAGAGGCAAATGGGACTCCAAGGAAGAATTCTTGGTTGTACGTGGGGCTTCGAGCGCCAACTATGGTGCCATTCTTAATGGTGACTGTTGGGAGGCAGTCTAGAGGATGGCAGACAACAGTGCACACCGCACCGAGAAACAGAAAGATGGGTTTGACTTGAATTTGCATAATGTCGTGAAACAAACCGGCAGAGAAGTTATGGTATAGAGAATTGAGAAGCCAATTTGGCGAATGAGAAGTATGTTACTTAACCTGGGAGGGGTATTCAGCATCCTTATATAGGTACTCGTCTTATACTACCCACGAAGTATTGTTCTGAACCACATAAGCGTAACTGATATACTGTAGCCCCTTAGCCCCTAAAGATGTAGGTCTGTATCCGTAGGTGTGGATCTGTAGATGTGGATTCGTGCGATTTAGATCGGCAAGAACATGCCGTAGTTCGGTTAGCCACAACGCGAGCGTTCGTGATTGTGGATGGATAATCAGCGAAAGCGAATGAATCGGAGTTTCAGTCAAAGGAGGCTTCATAAGTTCATAGTGTCTCTATATCGAAACTCCGAGATGATCAAGACTCCGAACCAGAGGCCTGCTCTCTACAGCTCGCCTGATCCACCCGGGGCTGCGCAGATTTTCTGTAGACCATTTATTTACCCAACTCATGCCGCAATTGCCGTGTTTGAGCGATATTCCTGCCAACCAGTTCGCCAGGCCTAATTATACTGATATTAAAGGGGCACAAAGATGCCTTGTTATCAACCAAGACAGCATGTGTTGGATGCTCCAACGGATTAAAAGTGCTGCGCTTTCGACGCCCTGAATGTCATATACTCTGGAAGATGAGATGATTAATACTGGTAAAATTGAGCAGGTTAACTGAGTTCCCTCTGCTGACTTAAGCTCTCGGCCACAAATCTCAACAGAATACAAATCTAGCTCACAACTTGGACAGAAGAGACCCCGCGGACCTGTGCAGGGTTTATTCGCGCATTGTTGCGCCCTCCAAACTACTGCCGCTCTCCCCGCGACCTCTCTATTTCCTCCTTGCCACACATCCAGCCACAATGCAGCTAAATAAGGCTCCAGCTCAGATACTTCCGTAGAAAGCTGTGTTGGTTCCATATCCGTACAAAAAAGGCCAAAGAACCGCGTCAACGCCAAGAGAATGGTAAAGTATTTCAGCTGAGTGTTGGAGCACTGCAAATTGTGCTATGAACATACAAGGTGCCTTGAGCTGGTCAACTTGGTGCCTATGGTTTATTACGATAATCTACTTGAGGGGATGTTTGAATACGACCTTTCCAAACCCTCTTTTCCCATCTTGAATCTTCATCAACTCCCCTAGCGCTTCTTCCGCGGTCACGTCGAGAACATGGATAGACGGAAACTCGAACTCCTTACCGTAGTTGGTGATGACCCATTGCAGAACACTCCAAGAATTCCAATGAGCCGCCGCCCTAGGGGGAATAGTAATAGGCCCTGGAGCACCAGTTGGATGGATGTTCCACCCGTCCTTTATCATGGACAAGGGCAGCTGAAATGCGGTCCCTGGGCGGAGCACAACGGAACAAAGGACTGTTTGCTCGCCGACACTCTGAGCCACTAGGTCTGCCGAGGACGGCTTTCCCTCCGTTCCTACTGCGTCAACAGCATGAGTAATTGGTCCTTTCCCAAGCGCACTGACAGCCGATTTAATCTCTTCCACAACATTTGTAGACGAGTAGTCAAACGTATGTGTTGCTCCAAGGCCCCTTAGAATGTCATGACGGGCCGGGGAAGCTGTCACAAAGATATTCTTACAGCCACTGGCCCGTGCCAGCTGTAGAATAGAAAGCCCGACGGCTGAGGAGGCGCCCCAGATCAGAATGGGATCAGAGGAATAAGAAGGGTTCGTAGGCAAGGGAAGCTTGAACAAGTTGTGGACAACGTCGGCGGCAGCCATAACAACTATGGGAAGTGCCGCTGCGTGAGCCTCTGTCAGGTTCGGCGGGATTTTAAACACCATGTCACACGGGACAGCAAGGAAGCCTTGGTGGGTGCCGTACTTTAACGGGCGGCCTAGCCCTGACGGCGTGTATCCCGCGACGGCATCCCCTTCCTTGAAGCCAGAAGCCGGCGGTGCCCTGACCACTCGACCTGCAAAGTCATAGCCGAGCACGGCCGGACGGATGCCTAGCAGTGTGGCGTGCTTAATGTCCGCTGGGTTCGCTCCAGAGTAGCTTGTCTCCACCAGCAGCTCATTTGTTGCAGCTGCTTCGTGTTGGAGGTCATCGCGAGTGACAAACTGCACGTCTTCCGTGACGTATAATGCTTTGTTGATCTTTGAAGACATGGTGAGTTCCCCTTAGCTGTTGAAGACGTTCGATCGCTCAGTTTTTGCTCGAGATGTAACGGGCTAGTTGTACAGGAGAAGAAAAGGCAGTGGGTGGAAGCTTCTGTCTGTTTAGTTACATTGATAGGGGTTAAATACTGGTTATCATATTGTTTATGATTCGTAATCAGAGATATGGGATGTTCGAGTGCAGAAGGTGCTAACTACAAATAGGTGTCTTGGCCGATTATATTCCCTGCCAGACCGCCGGCTCTCATTTATCACCGTCCCCACAAACGGAGTAATCCTTCCCGATATTATAAATCAAGTCTGATGCAGAGGGCCAGCTCCTGCGATTGGAGTTTTACATGGATTTCGCATGATCTGACTGACAGCAGACACAGCAGGCAAGAGTATACTACCTGGCACGCTTGATTAGATGTTTCTATTTGCTAGTATACTTACTATCTTATAAAATCCCAAGCTTTAATAATTAAACTATATATTATAAGGATTTTTAGTAGCTCTATATAAGTATCAACTAAATATATATAGTTATATATACTATTATAGATAGAATATCTATTCATTAGGTATATTTACTTTAGCTATTTTAGGAGCATTTAATAACTTAAAAAAGTTCTATTTATATGTACTAAAAAGTAAAAACTACTTTACATAAAAGTGCCGCGAAAGAGTCCATTGAATACCCGCATAACATGATACCACAAACAACCTACGAACCTGATCAAAAAGCTAATCGAGTTCGCCCATAACCAGATACGGAAGAACCAGACTTTGTGCCAATACGAGTCTCCAAGCCACCACAGTATCTTCAGACTGTCGTTCAAGACGATAAGACAAACAAAAATGTTTGAGAAAATGTAAGACGCGAGTAGAATTGTGCGGAACTCCATCATGGCGTCGGCCACTGCCAGAACCTGGGGGCGCTTCTTCTCGCGACTCAGTGTCTCGTCTCCAGCTGCTAATCGAGAAAGCGCCTGTTGATACTCAGCATTTCTAGCTTCGGGAGTCTCATCACGCTGGGTGGCTGCAGATCGAATATTAGGGTCTTGGTCAGAAAACGTGAATCGTCTCTCGATGGTAGCTGGTCTTGGACCTTCTTGTCTCTGGCCCGCTTCAGTATCTTCATGGCGACCTTTTCTGCCCCAGCTGACATCATGTGTGTTGCTGAAAGCGTAGATATTGAGAATGTTGACATAAGAAGATGATATGAACAGAAATTGGGCAAAGGATGTAAGAAGGTGCCATGGATCAAGTGCCAGGAGAGCGCTCAGGATATACACGCCGAAAACGGAGAATGCAGCGACGATGATGGTGCTCTGGCCAATGTCGGCGTAGAAGTCCCCGATATAGGCGTAGTTACTAGATCCAGTATCATCGGCCTTGTAGTCAGCGACCCGTTTGACTAGATAGACCAGATTCATTATCAGGTAAGCCTGGATGAGTCCGAAAATAGCGAATGAGATGATGTAGCTAATTCGATGATTTCTTGGTCGACTCCCGAGGGCAAGTATAAACTGGAACAAGACAGTCGCCAGGTACACTATCTGAATGACGGCGTTGACAATTGGTGTTGCTTTCCCGAAAGGGAATCCGCCAGTGGGTGCATCCTTTGGGGGATCTCCCGAGATACTATTGATAGTAAATGTCGAGAGTAGAAATGCTGCAAGAGAGAACCAAGCTAGGACAAGAGCCAGAACACTATGAATTATAGGGATAAAAAAGGTCAACTTGCGCATCCGTGAGTGTTCAGACCTCCACAAGTGTCCACATCTCTTCAAGACATAAATAGTCGAGAAAAACGCTCCGTTGAGCCATCGTCGCCTTTGGTTGATGAAGTCCGTTGTCGTCATGGGGATGTCAGTAGTAGCGGTGACGGGAACATATTTCAGGAGCCAATGAGTGTTTGGCTTGCTGATGATCCGGAAGCAAATGACTCTGTCGTCTGCGAGATGGCGATTGAGATTGACAGGCGATAAGGATAGGCGATCACGGTTATGGCCTTGGATCCATGTTGGATCTCCGAGGAGCATATCCTCAAGCGGTTTACCAGCACTACCCACGTATCTAAACAGTGGCTATCAGTCAGCATTACTTCACGAGAGTCGATGTAGGACAAACCTATAAGCAGAACAGGCGCCCGGCAAGAGTGATAGAAAGCCTGTTGCAGATTCAAACGTCCTATCCAACTGGAATCCAACCTTGTACTCAAAGTTCTGCGCCGCAACAATAGGATTGAGAATATTGAGCCAGTTCCCACCCAAAGAACAGGATATCTCTCCACAGGCAGCGGCAAGCATTGGCTCGATATCGAATTCCTTCCAGAGCTTATAGAGTGCTTGCTTGCCCAGCTTCGTACCGACATCCAGGTGCACTGTGATGTTGGGTTGTAAGACTCTAGCGAATCCACTATACAGCCATCGATATGAGTTAAGTTTCCCGCAGTTCGAAGCCTTCATAAGCAGCATTAGTTGTACCGGAAACTTCATATTGGAAGTTTTCCCGTCACCGTCTGTGTATGTCTCGCAGCCGAGATGCGTTGCCAGCTGAGATGTAAACTCAAACTTCACGACGATTAGATATCCATCGGCTACACGCACGTCAAATAAGACTTACAAGGTGTCCCGTGACTTCCTCTCCCTGCTCGGTCGTCTTTCTGCACAGTCCATTCTGATACAGCCCAATACTCGTCAGAACGTCGAGAACTCCAGGATCCACACACTCAATACCGTCGATGAGAATGCAGACCACGACTTTGGTCCAAGAACCCTTTCCCCAGATCCTTGACTCAGGGCGGATATTTAAATACAATAAATTATGAACGATACTCTGCAACGTACGCCGAAGGAGATGCTTCGGTTCACTGTAAACCGTGATGCCGACTAGAATTTCTGTCTGGCGAGCGTACTTGAATTGCTTGGGGCGCAGATGGTGTTTTTCGTTGAACTCCTGGGGATCAGTCGATATGGGTGTATCTACAAAGCAGGTTGATCAACAACATGAACCACGAAGAACCTGTGGAGTTAGAGTGCTTACAGGTCAGATGGGCCATCTCATAGACATTCTCCTCAGTAGTTGAATCGAGATTGAGGCCAGCGGCTTCCGCAAGGTCTGAAGGAATGGGCACGTGGACTTGAGAGTTGGATGCATTGCCAGCGGGTGACAGTAATGTGTCATGCCTTGCGACGTCTTGCAGCTCCATGCCTGCCTAGGCTCAGTAATGAACATTTACTCTTCAAGAGAGAACAAACCATGGTTAGGATCTTCGACGTAGGCGGGAACCTGTGGGAATAGAGGTGTCCGGTCCGACGTCGACATTGCGGTTCCAGCGAGCACTTTAGCTCCAAGTAGTCTAGCCTGCCGGCTCTACAAGGCTTTCAGATGGGACTTGGGCTTGATGATGTGTAGCGACAGCTCAGAAAGTCCACCGTCTATTTTGAACGGATGTGCTCCTCCGAATATGCGACTTCCGCTTCAAAAACCTGTCAAGGTCTGCATTCCAACAGCGCCTCGACCGCGCTGTGCGGCTGAAAGCTCATATTTGCCTTGTTTTCGTTGTCTGCCTTGTGAACTCGTTCGATCCAATCACATTGAGGATCTACCGCCACATTCAGAGTGACAGAATAATGCGGGCCTAGCTTACACCACACTGTGACTAGCTATTTCCTTTCTCCATGGCCACCAGGGTCACGGGTCCAGACCGACACAAAAGCACTCTCAGTGGCTCTGATGCGCCACGTTAGCAAAATACACCCTGTGTCGCTTCGCGACTGGCTTGGGCCCTTGTAATATTGTGATAGAGGCGGAGTTGCCATTTTGTCATACTACGTACTCATGTTTTCTCGGGGTAACGTGTGGCCGTGGCGGATTTCCCGACCTCAAAGTGTTTTCATCCACAATTACGGGAATAGCTAGACACATTCAACCGACCGATCCACTACTACGCAATCCAGAATGGTTAGCTGAAATACTCAAGATGGACCCGTACCAGCTGCCGAAGCGAAGTTGCCGTACCCGAGTAATTTGTTGCGGTCTGACCAGCGGAGGAACGTACTTGAAAACTATCGCCTCGCTCTAGACGCGTCAGAGCGACAACTTTTCCAGGCCTCTTAGCCTGACGGACTACACGATAAAGGTCTCTTGAAGCCGTCTGAACGTCATGGTTGAAGTCGCAAGGTTAACTTGCGACCAGCACAAAACAGCTATCAGCAGGCAACTTCAACGAGACTCCCGCAGTTTATTGACGTGACTCCACATTGTAAGGATGCAAAGATATGTGCTGGGCTGAAGCGTATGCTAGGCGAAGAGATGAGATGGAAGACACCGCAGCAGCACAATGGTATGTACTAGATCAGCTGCTTATCGGCGTGCAATCCTTGCGCTTATGGAGCATGTTGAAAGTCGATGTAACTTAATATTATAACATGTTAGCCAGTTGAACTGTCGCAATAGGGGAAAAAAAGCCTATAGTCGCCCTAAGCTCTCATGACATACATAACTACTTGCTACTTACTGCTACGGACTCCAGGTTCATCTGCCAGATGAAGTTCCTGCATCTAAGGAACACCTTGAGAAGATGGAGGATCCTGTAGAAGGAACTGCAGTATCTTCCCAGCGAGTCCACCTAGGATTGAGTGAAGACCAACATGTATCTCCTGCTAGCTAATAAAACATCATTCTTTAGGTTATGAATGAATGTGATTACCCTAGATACAATAAAGTTCTTGGATTAGTAGAGCATCTTGGGCGCCATGAGCAAGCATAAGTTCACACCAAACGGTCAGCTTTGAAGGGCCTATACCTAAAAAGATATAGGCATCGAGGTGAAGCGGGACAAAATAGGTTCACCTACGATTTTCATACCAAAAAGGCAATCTCAATCGCCATTACAATTTTTAAACGCGTATCAAACTACAGGCATATGTAGTGCCTATTATTGAGGCCTTAAAATCATGAGGGAAGCCGAGACGAGAGAGGGATATCAGATCTTCCCACTCAGCCATCCTTGTGCCTGGCCTTTAACCAAGCAGTAATGGGCTAGGTTAGCCCCAAGGCCGTTTATCCCCGAGGAGTCCCCAATCATTATATAAGTCTTCAGTGGAGTTTTCAAGCCGTAAAGTAGTCAAAGGAGGGTTTTTGCGCACGGTTATACGAGGGATTGACGTTGGCTACAAACTGGGCCTCTGTCCATGCCTTCAGTCTGAGATGCTACAATGATCCACCAAGGGAATTATTCTTTACTAAGATAATTCAGGGTTTTGGGTATACATGTCAAGATTTTACTTATGTGACAAACATGATTATCGCTAGAAAATTGTGTCTAGTCCTAATGGTTACAAAAATATAAGTTTTAGCTTATGCCCTGATTCCTGCCGAATCTTAATAACCGTTAGGTTGAATCCCCTCTACATGCTCCCTGGTCTTGCTTACTCGACGGAAAGTGCTGTAATAACTAAGGCTGGAACTCCACGCTTCTTGATGACATTACTTAGCTTCACTTTTTACCTCGGTTTAGATCTTTGTCCACCCAGCGTGGGAATATATAACCCATATTATCGTATCGAGCCTCCTCGTAACTACCGCATAGCGTCCTTCTGGATCTTACGTTTAATCTCTATCTAGTCTACCCTGCTTGTTGTATATTTAGGTCCGGCTGCCCATAAAAGTCTTGACGGCCAACCGGCGGAGAATGCTACGGTCCAGCTAATCACGAGTAACTAGTATATAGGAACAGTACTCTTATAGAACCTGCTGTTTACTAATTTTGGAAAAAGTTTAATCGTTCGAGTAAGTTCATTAATAATGCAAATCCGAAAGAAAAGAAAAGAGTAAATAAGAAGTCATGCCGATGCTTGTTCCCTAGCACAAGTTGCCCTTTTCTGTAGACTGTCTTGGACTTGTAATGAGACTGGTAAAATAGACTAGCATTGAAAAGAGACTAGCCTTGTTTTTTACTGCACTGAAATAAACTAAATTTTGTAAATCCTGCAGAGAGGTACTAAAGCTGATAAGCTGGAAGAAAAAGTCTGTGTTCCGAATAGCGGTATGAGAAGCTTATAAAGCCGGCTGAGACTTGCATATCAGCACGGGAGAAGAATAACAATACGCAGGATTCAGATTGAAGCCCCCATCATAAAGGTGGGTCATGCTTCTCGGGGCCAGTGAACCATTTTCGCTGCCGCTGCCTCTTTGTTCCTCTTTGAGTCGCACAACTGGCATAAGCAGTCGTGCCTGCGGTTACTTGACGATTCTGCGCCATGATGAGCATTACTGACATGCCGTAAATTACAAAACCACTGCAAAAGGAACCGATTCTCACCGCTCATACAATTGAGATGTTTCATACACGCCGATCAAGGCCCTTATCTCGGCCTAGAATGAGACAATCCAGACGGCTGCAACTCCTCACCGCTCTCATTCTAACCGCACGGATTCCCCCTTCCCATCAACGCACGCCACTCACGCACGTATATAAACATACCCTCTTGTTATTCTCTTTACATAGTGGCATTGCAAGCTAACTAGTAGATTGTTCTTGCATCTCTCTCCATCTGGTAGAACCTTGACGAAACAGTCAACAACTTGACAACGCTCTTGATCAGTCATTATCACTTTACACCCAGAAGCCCTGATTCGCCCCGACGCAGACGCATTATGCCCGACTCTGAGTCATGTTATAGTAGAGCCAATGCACATAATGCTGCTCCTACTGCGCCTGCATATCAGGCTTTTTCATTAAGTAGATCTCGATTTGTTCTCATTCTGAGTATTCTCCTTCTAGCAAACCTGGTTGGGGCATTTGGTTAGTGGACCCTAATCTTTTAACTTGTGTAAGCTATATCCATGTTTCTAATCAATCTTGTTATTGTATCTATAGATGGAACTATCGTGGCGACTCTCACGCGTGTAATCATGGACGACCTGGGAGCTTCCTCTGTCATCGCGTGGCTAGGTGCCAGTTATCTTATCGCAACTGCCTTGGTCCAGCCTCTATGTGGCCAGTTCTCTGATATATATACACGAAGGACCTGCTTATTGATTGGATGTATAACTCTTTTATTGGGGACTATTATCTGTGGCACTGCAAAATCATTTACAGTGCTTGTGGCTGGCCGATTTCTATCTGGGGTCGGAGGGGGCGCCTGCACTATTATGCCTACTATCATTTTAACGGATATAACCCCAAAAGAGAGGAGGGGACTTTGGCAAGGCATCAACAACATCACATTTGCATCTGGATATTCACTTGGGGGCCTATTTGGTGGGCTTACGGCCTATTACTGGTCCTGGAGAGGATCGTTTCTGACTCTTATCGCCCCTGCCTTTCTTCTCATGGTCGGAGCGGTACTTATACCAGAGCCGAATGATGATCCGGGCGGGCGTAGAAGTCCCGACAATGAGAGTTTGCTAAGCACCGGTAGCGAGGACTGCCCCCTTCTTCCAACGACAAGTTTGGGCCAGGGGAGCTTGGACATAGTAGGAGCAACACTCCTATGCATAGGGTTGGGATTGTTATTGGCATCCGCTCAGCAACTTGACTTTGGTAACTCAAATCTGAATCTCATGGTAAATGCATTTGGGTTTACTATATCCTGCATCAGCCTTTCAGGTTTTATTTATCACAGCATTTTTGTGGCTGACAGACCCTTACTACCACTCAAGCTCCTTACTAATCCCCCTAGCATTGGTTATATCTGTTTGATGAACTTTTTATCACTATTCAGTTATTTTATTGGCGAATTTTACTTACCAATACTCATGTCTCTTCAGGAGGATGTCTCTTTGGAAGTTGTGGGCTGGTGCTTAAGCCCTCTGACTATAGGCGCTGCAGTAGGATCCCTACTTACAGGAGCGCTCCTATCCCGACACAAAAGCTCGCATTTATTACTGGCTTCATCGGTAGTTATGTGCATGGGACCTTTTGGAATATCTCTTTCTACTCATTCAGGTTTCGTCAGGATTCATCAGCTTGTGTTCACATTCATATGGGGATTTGGATTCGGTGGCGTGACAACTATAAGCCTGGTCAAGCTGTTAGGAGCTATTCCGACAGATGTACAAGCGCCGGCAACCTCGCTTATGTACACTTCCAGATGTCTTGGAGGAGCTTTTAGCTTACCGGCAGCTGGGTTTGTGCTCAATATGATCAGAGAACACAGACTCCGAAGTCTTTTAATACGGTTAACAGCGGCAGAAGATCCAGACGTTCTACCAACACCTATTCAAGAGCTTATACAAAGCCTACTCGCTAATCAGCCTACAAATCCACAAATGCCGGACTCTTGGGTCGCACGCATACAGAATTGCGAAATACGCTC